ATAAACGTATCAAAGAACTCAACAACATTCAAATATACATAGACGTAGCCTACAACCCAGCCAGAAACTCAAACAAATGTGGCATTGGCATCAATATTACCCATGACCTAAACAGCATCACAAAGTTAGGCATACAAATAACTGGACAGGTATCTGCATATTGAGCAGAAATAATAGCTGCAATCATAGCCATAGCTCTGGGCAGACCCAGACCATTCACTACAGTTGAAACAGACTATTCTTTGCTCATAAGTGAATACAACTTCTATGTAGAAGAAAACACAAAGAAAATTAAAGAATTGCGATTAATTAGTAACCTTTGCACCATAGCAAAACACCATTAAACCCTCATTCAATGGATTAAAACGAACAAGAAAGAACATCCAGATGACCATTCCTTCATCGTAGCAGACAGACTCACCAAACAATATACCACAAACAACACGTTGGATGCCCAAGGGCAACTCAGTAATGCTATCCTCTGTACAAACATCATAACCTTTCACTACCAAAATCAAACTGAACTTATCTCACCTATTAGAAAAGCTATCAAGAGCATACGACAAGCTCAGTTGATTTACAGTTGGATTACCCTAGACAGAAATAATGACCTCTCACAACAACAGTGCTGTAGACATCGACTGGAAAGAATCAATACAGAAACTTCACCCCTCTAAGCTAGCTTGTGAAAACACAGACACCTGGGATCAATCACAAAGAAGTTTCGCAATGAAGCTGTGATATAAAGAACTTCCCATGATGGACAAGCTACATATCAGAAGGCCAGACCTATACAAACGAAATACTTGTTTCACCTGCCCTCAAGTTGATGATAACTTACACCTTTTCAAATGTTTCTCACACGGAATCGATATCAAAACAGTGATCCTCGATACCATACATCGGGAAATAACTGCAAGATTGGAGAAAACTGCTGAATGTAACATTTGTCAGGAACTCATATCAGTCATCACACAAAACAACATATGCAACAGACTCATGTTGAGAGGGATCAGCAAAAACATTATCAAGACCATTAACAAGTATATTAAAACTGATCGAATATCAGAAACCATCAAAAGCATCATAAATGGTGTTAGATTCTGGATATACAACATATGGTTAGACAGGTGTGACCATTTCCATCGATGGGAGAAACAACAGGGCATCACCACAAATAGCAAGCAAAGAAAGCAAAAATGACAAATGAAGAACAGTAACAAAGTACAACATAACACCTCCAACTCGAAAGACCCTATTGAAATTATCAATAAAATCCTCAAGGGAATTCACAGCATCTACGAGATATATAAGGAACATGCTAATGGTGCCTAGGCACGTTAGTCTCTATAAAGGACAACACGTTACAAGGGTTCAAAAGTCCAAGCCCTGCTGCCATTTGCGGCGGGTACTCTTGAACAAGGTAACAATTGGTTTTCTTGTAATCCTATACAGTAGACGCATGAAAAAAATGTCTATGCTATTGTTTGTATAGACAAAGTAATATGTATTTGTATAAAACCTCAATAAAATGGGCTATGTTGCATGTTATAAAAAAAAAATAAAATAAAAAATAAATAAAAATTTTAATATTAGTTTATTGGAGAAATAAAATATTATTATTAAATCTAAATTAAAGTCTATTAAGACTTAATTTATTTAATTCAAATCAGTTTAATGAATTTTTTATATTTTTTAAATGTTATAATTCTTTAATTAATAATATATAAAAATGAGTTTATTATAATTTTTTTTTTGTAAAAGCTCTCTAAGGTTTTTGAGTATTCTATCTAATCTGTAGTAGTGACCTACAGGAAATGAAATTAACAGTTGGAAGGATTTTTATCTGAACTACTAATGAAGTGATAAATTATTTCCAAAATTGCACTTAGAATTTTTATAATTCTTAAAATAAAGACAAGTGAGTTAATTAGAGACTTAGCTTTAGTGATATATTTTTTAATATAAAGTATATATATATTTAATAAAACACAAATACCTAGCCTGATAGAGGGTTTTAAAAAAATAAAGATGAGTTAATTATTATAAAAGTTTAATAATAAATTAAAGTAAGTAAATTAACAATATTTTTTATAGTATTAAACTGTAACTAGTATTAGATGCAAGACTTTATTTGATAATTTAATTCTTCTTTTTTTTTTTTAACCCACAATCATGTCACAATGGCATGTCTTTATTGAGATATTGAGAAATACCTAAATATTTTACAGACTTTCATAAAGTGACTAACTCGTCATTGTATATTATTAGTTAAAGGACTACACTACTTAAAAATATGAGGAGTTCACTAAGCTAGTTCAGACTAAACAAAACTAAATTTAAACTAGATACTCTAAGTCTGATTTAGGGAACAATATTTCACTCTTCTAGTAGCTTGGCAATAGTGTCTTTAAGTTAACTAGGGTTATTACTAACAGTTTGTTATTGTTGATTATCCCGAAAAATGATGAATTGCTAAAGTTGGCACTGGGAAAAAGGGAAGGAAAAATATAATTTAAAGCCCTTCAAAAGGTTCATGCTCTATTTCACAGTTTCTTCTCAAAAGAGGTTTGTTTAATTGGGATATTCTCTAAGCTTTATGATGTTTAAGGAACTTAGCCATTTCTGAAAGTGACTTTAAGAAGAATATTTGAAAAATTTATTCTTCTGCCAATGTACAGATTCGCTTATTGCTAGTGAAGCCAGTGCCATATTGCAGAAGAGTTTGCCTGATCAGGATAAAGAAATCTTTTTAAAAACTTTGTCTGACTGAAGTGGTATATTTGTAATCTGTACAGACTACAAATATACCACTTATTTTGGATCATAACTATTCCAAGTTTGTGTCATAATTCAATTTTTATGGCACAAACTAAAGTGTCAAGAAAAATAGATGATGATACATATCAATGTGTCAAGAAAAATGGATGATGACACATATCAATATGTCAAGAAAAATGGATGACGACACATATCAACATGTCCAGAAAAATGGATAATGACATACATCATATCACCCCTGAGACTATTATAGTCTATGCATCAGATGCTATATACAGTAGGTTGCATTTGTATCATCACTTGAAAACTGCTAAATGCATCCAATCATATGTGGGCCCGATGTGAGGGCTATGCCCGAACCTAGCACGTAGTGCGAAATAGTATTCGTATCCTGGTTTTGTGTATTGTATTTGAATACCGATCACGGATGAGGCACGTAGTGCCGAATTGCTAACTATTATAATGTACTCGAGTATTGATCAGGGATGAGGTACGTAGTGCTAAATTGTATTTCGAAGAAATGGTACGAAGTGCCTTAGCAGTTGTTAGCTTTGCATAATTTATTCGAATATCATCCGACGTAATGCCGAATTGTTAACTATTATAATACATTCGAATATTGATCACGGATGAGACGCGTAGTGCCAAATTGCTAACTATTATAATGCACTCAAATATCGATCACGGATGAGGCACGTAGTGCCGAATTGTTAACATATCTGATAATCACCAAAGCATCCGATAATGAGGCACGTAGTGCCGAATCGTTAGCAGTTATTTGGTGATACGTAAAAGCAAAAATTTATCTTATCTCTTTCCTTATAGTATTCTGCCTTTGGGTAACATAAAAAAAAATGCTATATTTAAAACTCTTTCTTATATAATTATTATTATGAAGCAATAATCCTTCAGGTTTATCTTTATATAACTATAATGTGTCTATCTCTGGCAAAAAATAGGTGATACCTTTGATATTACTCAATGAGATTATATATAATTAAACTTTTGTTTTATTTCTTATCAAAACTGATTTTTCTATATAGTTATCGATCAATCCAATATGTGTATTTCCAAACTCGTTGTTTTTTTGATCCTTCTTGTTTTCTACTACTTTTTATAGTATAACCATACCATTTACCTGCTATTACATTAATCAGTTTTATTGTAGATTTGAGATCGGGTATTTCTTTAGCTCGGGACTTAAAACCGAAGAGCAATAATGCATCTTGACGAATTTTGATAATTTTATCACGAGATCTCTCTAATGCTTTTGCTACAGTATCGCCAGAAAAAATACGTATATCATCTATACTAACAAAACCTAATGATTGAAAAAGCTCTTGTATAGTTTTCTGTTGTTTTGTCAAATATTCAAACTCAAAATCGATATTATTGTTTGAATTATTATCCATAATAGAATAATTACTATATATGCTTGATATGTCCTCTTCATCAGCAGTATAATATTCTGAATCGCTCATATTTTGATTAGTTATATAACTGATATTGTAAAAGTTCAATATAAGTAACTTTGCGTATCACCAAGCAGGCACGTGAATCGGGACACTAAATGAAGATTGTATTTATAAAATGTTACCTGCGGTGTATCCCTATAGTGATACCTTCGTATCATATCTTAGCAGAGTTTTAGTTGCTATTTTGGATTGCGCAGAGGGTGTTCCCCGTGCGTCACTCGTGCGTCACTCGTGCGTCGCTGGTACAGGTCCACATACAATGATTTTTAGTGAAATTTCCGTAATAGGATTTTATTTCCGCATATAGTGAATTCGGAAATCGTAAATCGAAAAGCGTAAATCCCGGCGATTTCGTGCAAACTTCGCGAATTTTGTTACGTGTCGATCATTAATTTTAAACACGTGAATACGTATATTTTTTACGTATATTAATGTAAGGGGTCCTCGTGATTCGGAAAACTCACTAGAAATCATTGTATGTGGACCTGTACAAGCGACGCACTAGTGACGCACGGGGAACACCCCCGTGCAATCCAAAATAGCAACTAAAACTCTGCTATCATATCTTATGGTGCACTACCTGCAATATATAATCCGCCAACCTTGTTGTGTTGTCTTTAAGCATAAAAAATTCGAAATGTCTTGTACTCAAACGCTCCCTGCACAAACAAGGACCACGACAATAACATCAACAGAAACGTTACAGCCAACATCTCAACCAACAAATACACGGAGAAGATATCCTTATGTGATTTCCGGGTATGTTGTATGGAGCCTAGAGGAGGAAAAGAGAGTGAACAGGATAGTTATTAATCGAAACCTAGTCACTACCGCTTTCCCTGACCCACCACCGCCTCCTCCTCCTGTTAATATCGAAATGGAGGTTCCAAATCCACGTATTCCAGAAACAGAGAATAAATGTTGTTCTTGTTGTTGCATTATTCTCTAATTACATATTTTAGAGCTTATATACTCTGGATATCCACCAATTTCTACTAGAATTTTTTTCTATAATTCATATTATTACTACCTGAACTCGCCTTATATACCTCTCTTACATAATTTATACAAGTATTCATAATAATATTTTGGCCATATGGGACAATTTATGACTTTGATAAAAAAGTGTTTGGGACCAATGTGGTTTTTTTAATAATTATGGTATATATATCGTAATTGAAATTTCAAAATCTAATAAAAATTAAACTTTTGAGTATAAGTCAAACAGAATAATCGGTAATGATATTTTAGGACCTTACCAAAACGTAAAATCGAGAGAGTACTAATCAATAACGTGTAGTTTTAATAATGTAAGTTTGATAATACTTTAGCCTACTACTACATATCACTTACCAAAAATTCACCTCAATCAAAAATTACGCGACACAATCGAATACGTACCTTATATATTAAGTCAATAAACAAATTCTCGCTCAAAATTATGCGATACAAAAATCCCCTTTATATGATATAGGTATTGGAATATTAATTTTTTATTTGAATTTTTTCTTATACTTATTGTAAAAGGTGACAAAAATCCCTTTACCCAGATATATAACTAGCTGAATGTAGCAATCTCTCTGCTCCGAAAATTACTACTCAACTAGATTGTATTATCTTAGTACCTTATGCCTGCTTTATTAAAAATTTATAACGCCTATGTATATTCAATGATTGCTAAATATTTATTTTTCAGTTCTTTTTTGTGCGGAGTAGTAGGTACGCCCATCTTAGTTTCAAAATTTCGCTTATGTTCTAAGAAGTCAGCCTCACTCATACTCTCGCGCTCTTTTTTCCAGTAATTTTGATTATCCCGCAATTCAAAGGCAATTTTGGTTCGCCATTGTTCTAGCTTTTCTTGAGACATTCGAAATTTTTGTTGTAAATGGAAGATAAGCATATTTATATCAGATTCGTTTTTAATGAGAAATTCTGAAGATAAAGGAGTTAAGGATTCGGGTATTTTTTTCTCAACTATACTGGCTTCACCAATAGTAGTATCAACATGGCATCTATATTGGGAAAGACTAGTAGATTGATTGTGGGCTGGCATTTCTAAAGGTAAATCTTTTTCGTCAATTGTCCAACAAGGCTATAAGAAGAACCCATTCACTTATTATACCTATAGTAAAAATGATAACAGACAAGGTTCTATATAAGGTTAATATGAGTGACACAAGTCCTCCATACATAACTGGTTTCAGGTGCCTTAACAAGAAAGTGAAGAAGGACCCCATCTGCTTATCACAGTCATATCAAGACAAAATACAATACAAGTTCCCACAAACAAGTCCAGAATAAGCAGTACGAGATCCCAAAATACAACTGATTTCCCCTTAAAGAATAAAAGAAGAAGGACTCAATCACTTATAGAAATGACCAGACATATCCATAAAATTTAGTCCAGTATAATGCTAAAAAACACATAGCAGGTTTTGATACTCAAAATTATCAACTGAGAAATCAATATCCTTCATATAAGACTGTACTCCAATCAAATAACAAGATAGTATCAGAAACATAACAAGCCTTAGATAAAAAATCCGAAGGCTAACGAAGCAAATAGGATTCTGTATAAGAAATCCCCAATATTGGTGATGCTGGGTATTTTAAGTAAGTTCTTGATACATTAGTTTCTCTATAAGGAGGATAGCAATAGAGTCGTCTGATGGATTATACAGTAATCCTAGGAAGTTTATTTTTGATTATAAAAGATATATAAGGATTACTTTATTAGATTGAATATATTAAAAATTCTCTGATTCTTAGCTTAATTGGAATTAAGAACAGTTCTATACTAGACAGTCACATAGTTACCTTATCCTAGTTGAGTGAGACATAAATAAATGTCCCTTATACTATTTATTGATCTGTAAATCCTTAAACAATATGGGTAATTACTTATTCTGATTGTCTCTAAGACTAATCTTGACTTTAATAAAGTTTTAGAACTGGTACAGAAATGAGCTAGCCTTCAAAAAAAATATATAGAAAACAACTTGTCAAACACAATCTCTTATTCATAAAACAAATACTAAATACTAATAGAACCTACATTCTTTATTGATTACAAGCTATCAGATACAAAACAAGCAACCTCTAGGATGTACCCCATAATGATTTACCAACCTTTAATAAAGAATAAATAATCCTATAATCAAAATACTGTATCTATAAATTAATAGTACAAAATTCTTTCTTTAAAGTACTGATTTAATAGAGTGTTGTTTTTTTTTTTTTTTTTTAACCCGTAGTCAGGTCAGTATAGCATGTCTTTATTGTATATATACTAGGTATTACAAATTTTTGTGACTTTCACATACTGACTTACTTGTCGTCAAAAAATTATTTCTCTAAATGCAACCTAGGGAATGATATTTCACTCCTTTACTAATTTGGAATATTTCCTCTAATTAATAAATTCATTGCCTACAGGTCATTACTGTAGATCATTATAAGTTCTGTCTACAGTTAAAAACCAAACCACTTTATTCTGTAACAGATCCAGTCCTTAATAATTACTGTATACTTCTTTTCTTCTATTTCTTTGATACCTTCTAGGCTCGAATCCTCTGAAAATAATGGCATTTCTTTTTGTTCCTATTCAATCTGTTCGTCAGGTCTAAACTTGGTCCTCTTGTTTCTTTTGTTCTCTTCTATAATGTTTTGCTTCTTTTCCTATTCTATCACTTGGGCACATCAAGTATTCCAGATCTCCTTTTTAAAATTTGCTCTCATCTTTTGACAGAATTTATCAATTATACCTTATGTATTTACTGATAGAATCTTGAGCTACTCTTTGAGGTATTTCTTCAAGGAGGTAATCTTGCTATCTTTCATATATCCACAGATAGTATTGAAAAGGCTTCTGTCAGATTTCTGGATCTCTTTTAACCATTTGTCTATCTAGTCACTTATTTTAGGTTGAACTTCTTTCTTATCTTTTATTTCTTTACTGATAAGTTTATTGATCTTTTTATTTGTCTTCTTTCATAAGTTCTTCTAAGTTTCCCTAATGGCTGGGTATTCAAAAAGATATTCTAGTGTCTCTTCTTGAAGTTCATATACTAGCAAGTGGTTGTGATATACACATCTAGTTTTCTCTTTTTAAGTATCTGTAGAACTAGAAGTTCATTGTGAATTATGTTAGTTAGAAAGCTTTTGTCTTTGTTGATTTTGAAAGAGGTATCAAAGGTATTGGTTGGATTGAACTGGTTCCAGAAGGTCAGCCAGTCTATCATTTTATTATTTTGGATCTAGAGATCCTGGATTCATTTCTGTGTTGTCCAGTCTAGTCCAGTTTTTTTCTTATTGAATATCTTGACGAAATCTCTAATACCAATTTCTATTGTGTATTCTTTCCATGTTGTATCATAAGGACTCTTCCTAGTTCTAGTAGCTGATGCCAAGTTATTGGGTTCTCCTGCCTAGCCTATTTGGTAAGTAAGTCTACTTAATTGTTGAATCTGTTGATTCTATAGGTTTTGACCTTTAGGATTTCCAGATTCAGGTCTTTCTTCTTTACTAGGTCCTTGATCTTATTCCAAAGTAGTCAGTTAGTGATTTTTGTCCATCTTCTTGTAGATATCTCTATTTGTGAATAGATAAATTTCCATACTTTGACTGTAGTGTTGCAGTCAATGTAAATTGTAACTGTTGTATTTTGGGAGCTGTATACAGTGCAGTGAGAATAGCTAGTATTTTATCTCTGGCCACTGATGGCCATGTGAATGCTCCTACTGAGAACTGTTTAACTATCCTGTCTTCCTCTATCATGATCCAAGCTATACCCATTTCGAATTTGTGATCTGTTATTCTTTTTTTATAAGAGCCATCTGTATAGAAAATAAGCTGATCATTCATATTCCTTTTGTTATTTTTTAAGATGCTCTTGAGTTTATTTTGGTATTCTTCTGTTTGTATAGCTTTTTCTATTAGTGTGATATTCCAGTCTTCCACTGAATCTCTACTTCAACTGGTTAGGAAGTTAATACTTTCACTGTTTGCTGAAATGCATTTGTTTGACAGTCTGTAGGGTTTCCTGGCAAGAGGATCTATTTCCTTTTTCTTATATTATTATGTCGATTAAGCTGTGGAAGAAAACGGATCTGTGATGTAGTCACTTCTAATGGTTGCTCTGTGCTGTTTGATTGAAGGTGAGTATTATTACTAGTAGGATCGTATACTAGTTGATATGGAGTGAAGTAGGTTTTGTTGTTTATAAATGTTGTCTTTCTCCATGCATCTGTTGAAGTATTAGCCTTAACTGTCCAAAAACTCTTCCTTCTATCTGAGTTTATTGGAAATGCTTCAGTTTGCATATTATAAACTGTCCATTCAAGTCCATGTAGAGAGTTTTATAGAAGATCTAGATTTTATGTTGTTTTTTCCTTCATTTTTTTTGTACCAGGAGGGAACCAGTCCCTTGTATCTACTATAAAGGATTTGACTGCTCTTCATTCCTTAAGTGTTATTGTGGTAGTATTGATAAGCTGATCTAGAAACATGATCCTGTGTTTTCATAGTGATGGAATGGCCTTTTCGTATTCTCTATTCTCTTGCAATATAGATTTGATTGATAAGATATCTCCCTGGTAAATGAATATGTTTTTCCATCTCCAACTTTGAAAAGTGACTTGTATACTTTTTGCCAGAGCCAATGTCATAGTTGTCAGGTTTCCTTTCATTAGCTTGTAAGAGTTGATAGGATTGCTTAGAATATTACCTGGCTCTCAACATTTGATTTGGCTTTGTTTCAGTCTAATTATGGTAGCAATACCAGAGGTCTCATTATTGTTAAGCTGACAGAAGTGTGCAAGTATGTGACTTTCTAGCTGTATTTCCCAAATACTTTTGAGGCTATATATTCTTTTGTTATGAATACAACTATTTGGAATTGTTCCACAGACCAGGGCCTTGTTCTTGAATGTTTTTCTAAA